TAGTTTTGGTCAAAGTCTCAAAAAGATGTTGAGACTTTGAAAGAAGTGCAAAGAAGAGTAACTAAGATAATTAGACCTGGAGACTAAAACCTATGAAGAACAGTTGCAGGATTTGGGTTTGGCTAGCCTAGAGAAAAGAAGGATTAGGGATGACATGATAGCAGTATTCCAATATTTGAGAGGTTGCCACAAAGAGGAGGGAGGGATGGAAACTAGTCAAGGAGAGAAGCAATCTGGAATTAAAGGGAAAATTCTCAACAGTGAGGACAATTAACCAGTGGAACTCAGAAGTTGTGGGTTCTTCATCACTGAAGGTTTATAAGAGGAGACTTCACTTGTCTGAAATGATATAGGATATCTTACTTGAGCAGGGGGTTGAACTACAAGACCTCCAAGGTCCTTTCCAGCTCTATTCTGATTGATTGATCAAGCTTTCTTCAATACCTTTAAAAGAACACTTTGCAGAAGCAGTTCTTACTTTCCACTTGCTTTTCTTAGAAGTCAGACAATAATGAATGGTCACCAATTCACTCTTATGGGAAATATTATAGTCAAGGCACGTGTAGTGGAGGACTAGGAGGTCTGGTATAGGTGACTTGCAATTTTGACCCTCTTGGAACCCCACAATAATCACTTTGCAGATGTGCAAGTTTAGGCACAGCACATTCTCAAAGCTTATCCTCTTCTGGGCTGGACTCAGAAGAATGACACTGATTTGCTCTTAAGTTGGGGTTTAATTTTTCATCTTTTATTTTCTTTTGTTTCTTTTGATGGCTAAAGCCTATAATAAAATAACATAGAACTGAATTAAATTATATTACTGCCTCTGATCATTATGTGAAACCTGGCAAGTTGATCCACTTGGTCTCTCTTAGAAATAATTCTTTAATTAGTAGTAGAACTAAGATGTGTCAGGTTTGTTGTCTGCTAGTAAAACATTTTTGGTTAAATTGAAGCAAAAGAAGACCATGAAATATAATGTCAAAGAGAGGGATTGGCATAGACAAATACCATTTGGGCTCTGCCACACTTTATTGCTAAACATAGAGTTATGTGATAACTTGGCATATATCATTATTGGAAGACTTAAATGAACTTTTGATCCAAGATGTCTATGGAGAATCTCAGTCATCCAGGTCATGGTTTTCCCAAAGGTGCTTTTTCAAGAGGCAACTGGACTTTCTGGTTTTTCTTTGAAGACATTTCACTTCTCATCCAAGAAGATTTATACTCCTTGCAAACAGCTGGTCATTTGCAGTACTTTTGATGATTTGCTTTTCCTTTTGAGAATTCAAATGACCAATTGTCTGCAAGGAGTATAAATCTTTCCATTCCCCACCATCCATCCATAGCTGAAGAAGCTTCTTCAATGAGAAGCAAAATGTCTTCAAAGAAAAACTAGAAAGTCTAGTTGCCTCTTAAAAAACACCTTTGAATGTTGATCCACAAATGTATAGGGAACTAACCCTTAAGTCTGTATTTAGAGACTGACTTCTGAACTGAATCCCCCGTTGTCCTTCCATCAATACAAGAAAAAATAGAAATATTCTAATACAATAAGAATTTGAGAATGGATAAACTAAATGAAGTGCAAGCAAAGTTAGACCAGTCACTCAAAATATCTCTAATAAGGTACAGTAGTTAATTAGGCATTAATACACTGACTAGCTATTCAATATCCTTAGCATTCTCCATATGTGTGAAGTTGCAACTTTAAGTATTCTCAGTAGTATCAGAAGTGCCATCAAATCTGCAAAACATTTGAAACATTATTAAGTACTTTAATCTTTAATCTGATAAGTTCTGACACTTGTCCAATTTAATATTGTATTTAAGAATGAACTGAGCTTCAAAGCAGTTTAGACTGTTGACTTAAAATATATTTATTTTATGTCTTTAGAACTTTGAGACAGAGGAAAATTAATTTTTTTCCAAATTATCCAGCTAATAAATCAACAAATCAATAATCAATTGTAGCAGGTCATAAATCTAAAATAGCTATTCTGCATTCAGGGAAGGAGACAATTTGATTGACTGAGCATTTAGTTTTATACTTCAGCAGTTTTTCCATATGTCTCACCCCTTTGGTTCTATTTCATATTATCTGTCACTCTTCTTTTAGAAACATATCTTTCTAGATATATAGAAAATTTCCTCTGTAGTGATTGACAGTGTTTTTTAACATTACTCAGCTATCCCTGTTCTGAGACAACAGTAATGAGGAGAGATTTTTATATCAGTGCACCAATGTTTAAGTAACATTAGAAAATACTCCAAATCACTACAGTTGTGGAGAAATGGCTCTAGTTTCTTTCATGAGTATTACTGGTTCTTAAATAGTGGAAGGCCACTAGATTTTTTAAAATTGTATTTTTTACAAAATGAATAATGATATCCACAGAATGGATATATTTGAATATATTTTAAAATCATTATCAAGTAGGGTACTAAGTATAAGATAAACAGGCTTTGGGTTTCAGGTCAAGAAGCTAGAAGACACAGTTGGTACAAGACACACTTTTCCTAAAAGTATCCAACTTCCTGTCTTTTATCATCTCTCTGCCCAGCACTACCAAGATGCTACTGCCTACCCTATACCTTGTGAACTTAAGTCCATATTATTAACTCTTATACCCAATTGAAATAAACAAAGAATAATCAACTTCTTTGTGGTCCTGATGATTCCATATGAGGAAGACAAGATGGCTCCTATCCTAAGTATAGACTTTGCAGAAGATGCTTGGGGATGTTCCTAAGGATTTGATTGAACTTTAAGCATTAGTTGTCTCTTGGAATGAGAAAGTGGTTATAGGCTTAAATTGAATTATAGCACAGTGCCCTCTCTCTGCACAGGGAATCCAGAGAATCCCTTGGTTTTCAAAGAGACCAGCCATCCCGGCCTCCTTTGATCTTGGTCTTCAGTACTACCAGTCATGGTATTCTTCTGGACAGATCAGAGTGTTGGAAGTGCGAGGCATAGTGTAACAATGGTTTTCCTTCTTCTTCCAAGTCATTTCCAATTGTATTGATAAGTGAAGAAATCTAGGCTTAGGCCCTGCACTTTGGGGGGTATCTTGAGTCTCAGATCTCTCCCTGCCATTGTTTAAGATCTTAATGGAGCTGCTGGATGAGTTCATCTATTCTTCTGGAGCTCAATAGCAACTTTATGATGATATACAAGTTTACATCTCAGCTCTAGCAGGACTGAATAGATGTGCATTTGAAGGCCATCTGGATCCAGGGAATTTCCATATTTGGTTCACATTAGTATAGCATTACTCCATACAGTGTTCAGTTTGGAAGGTGTCTTGGATTAATGGCTCCTGCTTGAACAGCAAGTGGCAATCATCATTGACTATGCAAAGCTATCCTGTGTGCCAATTTTGTCCATTTCTGGATCAGGAAGTCTCACTTACAGTCTGCTACACATTTGTCAACTTTCATCTAGATTACTGCAATGCAATAAACATAAGAGTGTCCGGAAGACTACTTGGAAACTACAGCTGGTCCAAAATACAGCAATTCAAACAGGGGTGGGTTGCTGGGGGTTTTCAGGGGTTTGGGAGAGCCCCTAGCTAAGATTTTGTGCAGTTTGGAGAACCCCCAAATCCCACTCCTGGCTTTCCCTGCCTATCCCTCTCCATCCTTCCCAGGACTCCCCACACGGCCTGTTTTGAATGCAAATAAGTGCAGGGGGCACATGGAGGCTTGGGGAGGGTGAAAAACATGCCTCCCAGAAATTCAGGAAGGTCATTTCTGGCTTCCAGAGAGCCTCTGGAGCCCGGGGAGGTCATTTTCACCCTCCCAGAGGCTCGAGGAAATCCTCCAGAGCCCGGGGAGAGCAAAAATACACCCACTGCCATGGTGCAGGAGGCTGACTAGGCCATGCCCACCATGGCCATGCCTACCCAGCAACCAGGCAGAGAATCCATTGCTAAATTTTTTGAAGCTCATTCCTGAATTCAAATAATTCTAAGCATGCCTCAATAAGCTCATGTAATACCTTTACTACGTGAGCTATATTGGTTATCTGTAAGCTTCTGGGTCAATTCAAGATGGCCTATAAAGCCATTCTTGTCCAAGGACAGGCAATTTGACTGCCCTTCCAATAAGTTAAGACAAAGAGAACATGGTCTAGGTTCTAACAATTAATAGATCCCAAAAGAAGCACCTTTTCTTTTGCTGCACCTACTCTATGGAACAGCATTATCTCTGAAATTTAGATGGTCTTGATCCTGCCCACCATTTGGATGACTCTAAAGATGTAAAATAATGGGTTTTGTAACAGTCTTTCCTGATGGTTGCTCCTGGATAGTTGGATGAAATTGCCTCAAAAGTAGTAAGTTTTATTATTTGTAATAGTTGTAGTTGTTTGTTATATGTCATTTTACTTATCTATATACTCTGATTTGCATGTAAATTGGTGGCTATGTAAATTGATCAAAATAAATAAATAACACTACAAATTTAAAACAAACCTCAAATGTTACCATAGTAGTAACTGAATTTGCTTATAGACTCTACAGAGAATTTGAAGAGTTCTCTTTCAGGAAAAGTTTAAAATTTATTTACAAAATCACATTTTATTACACAGAAACACACTTATTTGCTCTGTTGATGTGTTTTCACTGAAGCAGTCAGTCTCCCACAATTTAGGACATACCACAGTATTCAATCTTGTAGGGAAACTTTCATTGTTGTTTATGTGAGTGTTCAAAATCCAGTTTTCTGGTACGTAGGTGGCTTGGTGATTTGTCAGCATGCCATTCTGGATCAGCCCTTTATGAATTGTTTTTAAGCAACAAAATGGACAATGAAAGCTTTTATAGCAGCTGCCTAATTAGCAGTAATCATTCTTGTTAACTTTGCTAAAGAACTGGACTATGTGATGAATGTAAACTATTCATTTTGGGGGGTTTTCCCTATACCCATTTGCAGCAGGCAAGTTCATCTTGTAAAATAGCCTTTAACTGCTTTGCTATTTCATGTTCATTTTGCAGATTGAGAATGTTGATGTATGCCTTAGCTTTCTGGCAGCCAGAGGAGTAAATGTCCAAGGTCTTTCTGCTGAAGGTAAGAGAACCACATATAAACCAAGAAAGTAAAATATCTTTCTGAAAAGTTCATGAACTCTATTTTCAACTTGCCATCTTGAATTTTTTTTTTATTATGAATTACCCATTTTATTTTTTGGAATCAGTTGTTTCTATTTAAGAAAATAAATATTTCATTTGGAAGTCAAATGAAATACTCAAATTATTGATTTATTCTTGGGTATATTTTGTCCATTTAATTTCTTACCTAAATTTCTAAACAGATATATAGTGTAATTTCCAAGTACATTGCTGAACATAGCATGAATATAATACAGTATTGCATTGTATAAATCACTGAAATTTAGCATAGTCAATGAGCCTATAAATTCACAAGACATCTCATTTTAAGTAATACATCTAGATTTTATTGCCTTCATTGGTTCTGTTAACAATTATGTGCATTCATGTCACACTGTGATCAAATGCTTTAAAACTTTTGTCGGTTTGTTTAAATTTTTACTCTTTGCATCACATATTATATTATCTTGGGGCAAATTAGATTTAAAAAAATAAAATCCTGTTTTTTTAGCTTCACGATTAATATTTAGTTGAAGTAATGTCAGAAATTATTTTATTAGAATGTTCAATAACTATTTTTGAATTTTAGTTTCTGTTTTATATGAAATTAATTATGCTATTGCCAAAGATTTCAGATTCATTCAAATGTTATTGTTCATTTCTGGAGAAACTTGAAATAAATTATTTCTTGATAAAGAAAGAAATAATATAAAATATTCTATTTTTGTTTTTTAAGAATGATACAGTCTCAGTTTTTATTTTATTTTAGAATATTTATTTTATTAAATTTCTACACTGCCCATCTCACCTAGGTGATTATTGACAGAACATTCATTATAGCTTTCTGTGATTCTGAAAGAGGATGTATTCTCAAAAAGAGTTCTTAAAAGAGATTCTCACATTTATTTTTTCTTGTTACCATGTATATAAGTTTCAATTACCTTAAGTCCATTGATCAGGGAACCCTGAATGGCAAAAACAGGCCAGTAAGAAATCAGATGGAAATATTTTGATATATTACTCAAATTTAAAAATGGTTGATTATGTCTGTCTTTTAGATGAACAATGTCAATTGTACATTTCTTTTAAATGTACAGCATATTGATTGATATCAATACCAATAAACATTTCCTATTATCAAGAAAATAGCAACATAATTTTATATAAATAATGGTTTTTAATTTCAGTTAAAGATGCATAAGCTTGCATTATTTTATAACCACATCTGTCATAAGACTTTTTATCAGAGAATTAAAACAAAAATAAAAGCAAAAAACAAAACAAAACCTGTCCAGATTCAGGAAATGGAAAAAATGTCCTACAGATTTTTACTGTATCTTATTTTGATCATAAAAGAGGTGTGATTAAACATAAGAAACATTTTAACTTTTTTGTGGGTGGAGAAATTAGATGAAATTTTCAAATATATCAGCTGGTTTAATTTAAGACGAACCAACAATACTTTTTTGATGTAAAAAACAGAGCTGAATAAATAGAAGGGAAAATAATTATTATACCAATATAATAATGAATGAGAATTTAGTGAATTTTGGTCAGTGAGACACAGTGAGGCAGTTGGCTCCCATAGTTAATGCCAGAGAGCAGGAATTAACAGGGTGATATTGAGAACATACTTTATGATCTCAAAACAGTTCAGTCCTCTCAGAAGCAACTTAGATAAATATCAGCTAAAGATAAAGATTTAACTACTTCTCTAGTCATCCTCTGTACACATAAATGTGTAGGTATTAAGTATGAGATGGGATTTTTACTGGTTCCAATATGAAAACTCCTCTTGGTTGCAAAGTTAAAACTTTTTATCTTGCAATTCTTAAAGTGTGAAGAGATTAGTTCAGACAAAGGCAATCCTTAACTTGGTCTCTAGAAACTTAAAGCTTCAAAAATCACAAGCAGCACTTTGACTTGGGCTTGGAAACATATTTAACCAGTATAATCCAAGACATGAATGGACTGGATATGCTTCTGAATGGTTCTGGATTGTCTACTAACAGCCCAATATAGAAATGTATGTAATGATCCAACAGAATTTAGCATTGTATATATTGCTGAAGGAAGGCACAATACCACTTTAGTTACAGTGTTATGAAATTATTGGCCAACATCAACAAATGTAATCATCACGTTGATTATTTACAAAACTATTACCTTTTAAGTAGTGATTATCAATGTGTTTGAATATACAGTATTTATGATAGATAAATTTGGTGTTATTAGCCAAAGTAAATAGTTAAAGTTATAAAGTGAAAGTAAATACTTTATAAGAGTTCAATATATGAAATAAAATTTATGTCTAATATCCAATATGAAACATGAGATTCCATCATAAAAATCTTTAAAAATCTTGTCATATTAAATTCAAATATAAGGCAGTTTGCAGAACTGAAACAATAGCTAATGTCCATTAGGTACATCTGTGAAGGCAAAACTAATTTCAATATTTTCATTTCCTTCTTTTTGTCTGTGCAGAAATAAGAAATGGAAATTTGAAAGCCATTTTAGGACTGTTTTTCAGTTTGTCTCGTTATAAACAGCAGCAGCACCAACAACAGCAGTACTATCAGTCCTTGGTAGAGCTACAGCAACACATCTCTCATTCTCCGAATCCTCCTGAGAGTGGCCAATCCAAAACTCAGCAAGATATGCAGTCCAGGTAGGTCAGATTATTTCTTTAATCAAATTGAACCTGAGATTGCTTTCTTTATGCAACAAATCTTTTCAAGCTTCTAAAAACAAAATTGAAACTGTGAAGTCAGTGAAGTCTTATGTGGAAGGAAACCTTTTAGAAATGTTCAGAGTACTGTAATTGCTTAAAACAGTTTATAAACAATTATTCAGATATTTTTAGGCATTTAACTTTTTCCCCCTTGTTGGTAATGAGATGAAACTGGTTGCTGGAAACTCACTACTTACACTGAAGCCCGATGATGCTTCATCTGGGAGAAGCTCATTTTAAGGAAATTAATTTCTGAAATTAGTAAAGAAGAGAAGATAATCTTGGGTTGTTTTTTTCTCGAAAGAGAGTAAATTCTTAATTCTATCATAATTTCTGTTTGCTGAACATAACAGAAAAAAGTCTTTTGTTTCTCTATTTTTAAATTGCTTTTATTTCCAACCTAAAATAAAGTGATCATGTTTTTCTCTTGATAGATTTTAATCAAAGGGGGTTGGGTGCTACCACTGTGGATGAATGGTATATGTTGTATGAGAGGTAGCTTACAAAGAAAAACATTTTTAAAAAAACCATGGAGCTCCCCATAGTGAATGCAAACCAGCTATTGCTTATTTAAATACAACGATCAAATGGCAGGAATGGAGCTGCTTATAAGTATCCTAGCACTTAGTGGATCAGATTTTTAGAAAGAGAAAGATAAACTATAAAATAGAGGAAATATCATTGGTATAACAAAACAGTGTTTCCTCCATCAAAAACAAATATTTTGCTTTGTATAATGATACAATTAGAGGTTGAATAAATTGGTTAGCTAATTTCTTTTTCTATTAAGCAATAACATATGCTATAATTCTTTTTTAAAAAAATTATGATTTTTTTGTGTTCTGACATTCAAAATCTTAATGTTGACTGTGAATCTTTTTCTTCACATTGAAGTCATTCAGTTAAGAGCATGGATTGGAAATAAACACATACATAAATTTTACTTATAATTATTTATATAAAAGATTGTGATGTGATTTGAATAGTAGTGTGGCAAGCTTGCTGGACTATGGTGGGATTAAGAGTTTTAGGAACTTTAAGTTCATGGTTCAATGAAGAAAAGAGTGTTGCAAAACTTTTGCATACATCTCTTGCTGGTTTTAAATTCTTAGTGTATCAACCTTCCTTTCAAATGTGTAGAGCCAAAACATATAGGTCAGAATGATTTCATGAGAGGAATTACTCTGCTTTTTAACTAGCTGAACTGTATATTTGTTTCCATTTATCATACTATTTTCATGTATTTTCCCACCTGGAAATGAACTATTTCTTCAATATTCTTTAAAACAAAAGCCTTTTAAGCTAATTATTTTCTTTTCAAAGGAGAGTTACATATGATCACTAGCTTGCCAGAGGTTTCCTTTTAAAGTTCCAGGTAGATAAATGGGGAGATAAATGGAGAGCAGGAATGTTGGAAGAGATCGAAAAGACCCTTGAGTGATGCAAAAGAAAAGAGGGTGGAACTTTTAAGTACATTCACTATATGTTTAAAATGATTGACCTGTCAAGTTAAATTGTTTCCTAATTTACACACAATTTTTCTATTTCCCATAATGTTGATGTTTCTTAAACTTGGCAACCTTAAGCTTTATTACACCACCTGTGATCTAGTAGGTCACTGTTTCAGAAAGATTTCCCTACCTAAACAAAGAAACAAAATGACTATGGGATGGCAAAAAAGCAGTGCGAGTGGGAACAATTTCCACTGTTTCCTAATTGAATTTCCTTGTGGGAAGCTGGTAGAAAGCATTAGAAATCCTTCCTTCCTTCCTTCCCTCCCTCCCTCCCTCTTCCAGGTGGAGAGTGAGTGAAGAGGAGTGTGGGTCAGAAATGGTACCTGGGATGGTTTAGGTTGAGAGAGTCTGGCCCAAGGTGGCTTTCATGGCTTTCATAGCTTTCTTGGCTAGTAGTATACAGATGACCTGCTGCCCAGGGAATTCTGGAAATTGAAGTTCTCAAGGTTGTCAAACACTGGTTTATTTGAATATTTTATGTGGCTTTAAGCATGTTTCTAAATCAGGTAATTTAATTTAATAATTACAGCTAATAAAACAAATATTGTTCATATTCATTCTGACTTATTAAAAAGTGAGGAAGAATTATTGAATAAAAATAAAACTTATGCTTTTGCATGAGGAATTATAAATGCTAATTTTTAGTGATTGCTTCTAGTTGGGCCCTTGTCAGCATAGCTATGCTTATACTTTCACGATAGTATTTTAATGGAAATAGCCTAAGCTTTTCAAAGGACTATGCCTGTGATCATTGGAAATATCTTTCTTTGATACACTATCATCCTGGATGTTAAAAAAAGAGAATGGCCAATTCATTGTTTCTGTAAAGTTAAAAGGATCTTTTCCCCCTCGGTATATCTTTTACTGATACATGTGATGAAGTTAAATTTTTCATTACACTAAGAAAGTTCAAGAATAATGAACAGCACACATTCTTAAAATGACAAATGAATCATTCAATTCAAACTTCATCACTTAAAACAAGAATCTACCAGATGTGCCAATACTGACCGAAATGTATTAAGAATTATAATTCACAAAAGTATGGACAACTAAAGCCTTCCTATCCTTGGACCTTGAATTTTATCAGCTGAGGACTTTGCATGAGAACAATAGTCTTCATTGTGCATGAGCAGACATTCTCAAAATACATTAAGGAGTCATACAGTATTTTTAAATGTACCCACTGCAATCATGACATGCCCAGCTGTCCATCTCATGATGAGAAAATGTTGCATAAAAAAAAAACCCACACACAACAATAGCAAACTTATTTGTAACTGTATTTCTTGACAGTTTGTCTTTCTATCTTATCTGGAGGTTTCTTGGACAATATCCCTAAGCTGCTACCATTACTTATGTGTGTATTGTCTCCCATGAATACCATTAATTCACAGCTATATAATTGTGAAGCTACTGTATATAATTGTAATAACTATATAATAAAGATACGTATACTGGCACATACATACAGTATATAAAATGCCTTCATTTAAACAGTTTAACACCTTAATTGCAGAAGATTCATAAAGTAAGACCTCCCAGAAATGATTGTTTATCCAAAGAAATGTAAAATACAAATTTGACTACAGCGGTATCATATTTGAAAATGGAAACCACAGTGGTTTGGAATTCTGGCAGTCATAATTCTAAGAGACCCCAAAGACATCAAAATAAGAATCTTAACTAGCCAGCTGCTTTGTTGGCAGGATCAATAATATTTAATCTATGCAACAGAAATAAAAACGGAGATAAATATATAGAGACTGATATATAAATAAAAGTTCTCTTGCTATGTGATGTCTTTCCAACTATCCACATACTGAAAGAAAAACACATTTATGGGTTAGACAGAAACTGATTATAAAGCTGTCAGCAAAATCCTAAAATATAGATAAACTAAGATTATGACCTGTAGACATAGTGGTAACAACTTGAGATTCATATGGATCTGATTAATACATTAGTTTATTATTTATTACTTTAAATATGCAATGCTTTTAGTTTGTGAAACTAGAAGTCATTTTTTCAATGTAGTTGATACACTATTTTCCAAATAGGAGCTACATGAATGCTAAAATTCACAGGATCAGCAGCTTTGTGAAGTTCTCATGTTAACAGCTAGCAAATTTAATAAATGAAATAGTCATGAAATAGAAAAGATCTTGAAAATATTTTATATGTATTATGCTTTGAGTACAAAATATCATGTGTTCAGCTGGTGGGGCAAGATTAATGTCATAAATTAAGTCTACCATTTCATTACTGGGTGAGCAACAGTGGTGAGTGTTGTTATTATTTTTACAACATTCTTGCTTCTAAAAGAAGCAATTGTTTCACTCTTCCTACATCCCTAGTTTAAAAATGTGATGGTAGAATGAAAAGTAATACATCCAATGTACAAATTGCCAATATATGATAATACTGATGTGCTAGAAACTCTGTCATGCTATTCATAATTTTTTTATTCCAGTTGGCAAGGAAGTTGCTGCAAGAAAAAGTTGTCTTGTTATTGTTTACGAAATTGAAGCCTACATGACCACTTGTCAATTCACCTTAACCAGCATATTGTGATTGAATTCTTAAAAGCTGAAATAGTCTTTCCAATTCAAATCCAATATCAGATGCAGATTGCTTATGACACTATCTTGACATGAATACTGTGTGATACAGAGTAAAAAAAATATAAAGTTGATGAACAGGCCCTCTGCCTCTCTCCTCCCAATCCTGCCATGCCAGATCCCCGCAGGTCTTGGGGTTGCTCTCCACTCACATGTCACCCATTATACATTTACCTTTTCAAGACCTCTGGATGCCATGTTAGGGAAGGAGGGCAAGCTAATCATCACTGGGCTCTGTGGCTGCCTCCTGGAATGGCCACCATTTTCAGTGCACTCACAATTCCTTGCTAAAGTGGTGGCTACTTTCAGTAGGGATCAGTAGGGATCAGAATGAACGGTTTCATGTTGCTTCCCAAATGCAAGCTACACAATGCTTCTTATTTCTACTTTAAAGTTACAATTTTCAATAACATTCTGGCAATGAATCTCTTTTCCATAGAATATTTCTCTTTAAGTTTCAAGGATTTTTAATTATAAGGATTTTTATACCAGTCTTTTAATCTTTTTCTTAGTTCTACAAATACATCAAACAATAACAAATATTAGTACTATTATAAATAAATAGGAATTATAGTACTGAGTTACAGGGTGAAATCCTTGTTAAATATTATTTTGTTTATTCTCCATTTTGTGTGGAACTTGTTGACCTCCAGTCAACACTGTCTTGGCTAATCAAAATAGATTAAAATCCTTTCCATTCTAGGTAATATTCTTATGTTTCCAGTATTTCTAGGGCTGAAATCCTAGACTTAGAAAAATTCACTGAATGTTGTAAAACATCCATATAGAGAAAAGTGCATGC